TTTTCACAGTTTATGTGTTTATTTGTTGTGCCTGCTGTAGAAGGCAAGACTTATATTTCTTTTTGAAATTAACAATTGTGCTTGAAGTTATTAAGTTGAAAACATCTGAATTTAAAAGTTGTATTGCTTGAAAAGAGAAAGAGTTTCTAAATTTTGCTGTTTTATGCTGAGGTATGTGAAAGCGAACCATATTTCTTAGATTAAGATTGTGTAAGTCTTGCCTCCCGATAAAATACTTCGCCAAGTAACTCGGGCAGCCCAATTTAAAAATTTTACAAACAAATTGCCCAAAATGCAGGACAGCACGTTGCTCATATTTTAGTATGCTGTTTGCTAAATATGTGGGAGTCACATGATCAAACTTTCTTACACAGAAAACAAATCTTATACAAGAATTTTGTGCAAGTTGTATTTTGTTTTTATATTCAGAGCTAAGAAAATGGTAAAAAACTACGCTACAGTAGTCCAACTGAGGAAAAATTAGTGCTTCAACCAGCATCAGTTTAATCTCACTAGGTAGGATGAATTTAAAAGGATATAGACTTCGCAGCTTGGCATATACAAATGACAGCTTTTTGTTTACGTGTAGCTGAAAGTCGAGCCTCTCATCAAAGGTAACTCCCAGATTCCTGGCTGACTCTGCAGAGGGCAAAATAGATCCATTAATATGTAAGGTTGTGAAGTTATATTGGAGAAATTGTTGCCTATTATTATTTGAACCTATAATCATATAGTGACTTTTTGTTGCATTCAGCACCAAGCCATGTTTTGTTGACCATTTATATATTTCCTCTAGATCATTATTTACTCTCTGCATAGTCAGACACGAATCCTCTGGAGGAAAACCAACCAGCAGCTGGGTATCATCAGCATAGAGGTTGACTGAGCAAGTCCTAACCTGCTGTGGAAGATCACTTGTGTAAATATTGAATAATAAGGGGCCAAGTACACTTCCCTGTGGGACCCCAAGTGACGTCTCAACAGGCTCTGATCTTGCCCCCTCAAGCTCCACAACCTGAGTTCTTGGTTGGAGATAACTACTAAACCACAAACAGACCCTCTCAGAAAAACCATAGTACCTCAATTTCGAGACTAAAAGATCATGATTGATTAGGTCAAATGCCTTGCTGAAATCCAGTAGGACCAAGCAGGACACTTTCGAGGAATCAATGTTTGTAGCAATTTCAGTGGTTACATTTGTGAGGGCTGTAGCAGTACCATGGTTCTTTCGAAAGCCTGACTGTGTTACAGGTATAATACTATAATTATCAACAAATTCCAAGAGAATATCTGATACTATAAATTCAAACATTTTTGCAAACACTGGCAGCAGACAAATGGGTCTCAGCTCAGAAAAATTTTCTATTTTGTTGTTTTTTGGTAAAGGCCTAATCAAAGAGGTTTTCCATATTGTTGGAAACTCTCCCGTTTCCATAGACCTGTTGACAATTTCAGCAACATAATATGCAACACTATTTATGCTAAAAAGTATCATATTGTAGCTTATTTTATCTATGCCCATGCTTTTTGACTTAATTCTCTTAAACGATTTGAGTACATCATATTCGGAAATTTTTACAAAATCAAGTGTATTATCATCAGGTCTCTCAAACCTGTTAGAGTTATAAAAATTGAGGAGAGTATCATCAACCGCAACAGCTAACTGACTCACACTGGCAAAAGCTTGACTAATTTGGTTAACATTTTTTAGGTGTTCAGGTAACTCACTATTAGTTTTTGAGTGGATGTTCCAGTTACTCACATCAGACCATAATTTTTTTGTGTTTTTTTTTGTGTTTACTAAGTTCAAAGTTCATGTATGCTTGTTTTTCACTGCGAATTGCAAATGATAAGTAGTTTTTGATGTCTAAATAAAAAGATTTATGCTCCACTAGGCCCGTTCTTCTAAATTTCTTAAATGCTTTTTCCTTTAATTTAATGATTTCCCTTATGGTATCCGTAATATACGGTTTATATTTATGTTTTATCACAGCGGATTTTAGTGGAGCGTGCCTATCGAAAATGTCAGTTAATTGCTCGTTGAGTACTAGCACCATACTATTTACAGATTCCTGTTGCATGATTACGTCATAATTTATATGCTGGAGATCTTGCTCAAACTCGAGTTTATTAAAATGTTTAAAATCTCTATATGTAATTGTTTTTTTAACTAGTTTGGGAGCTACAATACTTACTAGAGAATAAATTAGTCGATGGTCAGTCATATTGAGCATACCCATAGTGCCACTGTTAAGAACATCTATATTATCATTTACACAAATAATATCTATTAAAGTTGAACTATTTCTACTTACCCTTGTCGGGTCAGTAATAATTTGTTTCAAACTGAATACTTGCAACAGGGATTGCAAGTATTTGTACTCCACTGAGTTAGACAAGAAATTGATATTCAAATCTCCCATTAAGATAACATGATTATAAGTTGCATATAAACTAGATAATACATTTTCTACACTAGATAAAGATTGATAGAAGACTAATGGCGGTTTATATAAAGTACCTATTAGCAATGTTTTGTTTCTATACTTCACTTCTACCCACAATTGTTCCAGTGAGTCACTTATAAGTACCTCTGATATGCTAACTGCCAAACTTTGCAAACAATCCGATACGTACAAGCAAATACCTCCTCCCCTACTAGCTCTGTCTGCTCTGAATAACTTATACCCGGGGATATTCACGAGGTTGTCAGGATATTCTTGTGTAAGCCAAGATTCAGTTATTCCAAAAATATGAAATTTTTGTTGTTGCAACAAGTCGCAGACATCAGGAAAGCATGGAACAAGGGACCTGATGTTAACATGACCAATATATAAATTATGGTCAGTACTACTATTAGTTTCTGGTACGTTCTTCAAGTCCTCAACATTTAGATGAAGCACTGATGATTGAGAATCAATATTTATTTTACATTTTGTTTGGTTGGAGGAATTTTGTGATGACAATTTATTTAGTTTTTGGGTAAAAAATCACCTGCAAAAGATTCCAAAAATGTTTTATGTTTCCTGAAATCGAATCTTCTTAATTTATTTAATGTGAATTCTATGGAAACTCCGCAAAAATTTCACAAGTACCTAATTCCTTTTTCAGAATAACATAATTCTACCGAAATTCCTTGAAATTCCATTTAATTATGGAATTCTGAGAGACTTTAACAGATTTTTGGGGATTCCAAAGGATTTTTGGGAATATCAAAGGAAATAGGTATTTTTCAAGAACCTTAATGATTTTATAAAATTTTGCAGGTTTTTTTTGGTTTTAATGAAATTTTATTAGATTTTGTGGGATTTTATGCAATTTCAATATAGATTTTGTGGGGTTTTGTTAAATTTTTAAGGATTTCAAAGAGTTTTAGTGATTTTGAGTAGATCTTATGAGATTTTCTGAGATTTTGAACTTGTACAAGGATTTTGACCAGTTAACCACCCCTCAGTAGCTACCTAAGTACACAACTCTGTTACTGTTACCTAATTGAGATTTTAATTTAGTTTCAATTACTTATTTGTTCATTTCAGTACAAATTCTTTTTTTATTTGCGATATAGTTAGTAATCTTGAGAAAAGTTTCTTCTGATTTTTACTTTTGTATCTTTGAATTGTTTGATTAACACCAAGATTAATACCTATTAGTTGACTACTTTTCTTGGCTTTGGCACCATGGTAAGAATGAGTGAGTTTCTGACACAAAAAGTTGAAAGCTCACTGAGTTTTTGTATATGCCAACCCTGCAATTAGGTATAATTTTTACTTAGAACTGACAATTAGAATAATTTTCACAATTTATACCTACCTAATTGTCAGTTCTAAGTGACAATTATTATACCTAATTGCCAGCTCCAAGTGACAACTATACCTAATTGTCAGTGTTAAGTAAAAAGTATACTTAATTAATTGTCAGATCGTAACAATTTTACCTAATTGTCAATTCTAAAGTAAAAGTGTCAGTTTCAACTGAATTGAGAATAATTATCATAGAGAATTGAAAAAGGGAAATGAGATGTCAGTTCTCAGGGCTTTACAAGGTAATATCTACTGTAGTGTGATAACTGTGGGTTTTGAATTTACCACCAAAATATAACAGATGTGGCTAGAGATACCATGGGAGTGAAGTCAAAAGGTTAGGATTTTTCTCAAGATTCTTAATTGAAGAATTTAGTTTGCTGGCAAATATTCTGCAATAGGCCAATACACCCAAATTTACCTGGTTTTCTGTTGAACGGCCTCTTTTTCATAAACAATCTTTTCTTTGGTCAACCTCTTGACAACACCTGTTTTGATTTTCAATATTTTTATTCTTGGATCTGCCATTACGGTTGAACTCTGAGGATTTCCAAGAGAATTGAATATTGCAAATGTTAATTTAGCATGAAACGTCTAATTTTTAATAGTTTGTTTGAAAAGAAAGGAATTTCGGTATCTATTCCGGTGTTTAGAACAGACAACTGTGACAATCTGAGGTTATGACTCATGCATGCAACAAAGACCCATTTCATGACAACCTTGAATAATGAATAAAAGGAAGAGGGAAATTATTATGATGAACCTATAAAATAAATACAAAGGATAATGGCACTTACTTTTCAATTTTGGGATAAAAATGAAAGAATGGAAGGCTACAAACAAGTAGAAGAGAAGAAGGCCGAAGGGCCATAGGTAATTTCTCTTCTAATTACTATAAAAAAAAATGTTTTCCTTCTCTAGAGCTATGTAATAGAGAAAGACACATCTATTCTGTGAAGTGAAATAATTGAGAGAAACCAGCTGATTACAGTCCTCTGCCCAATGGTAGCTTTGGTTGAGTAGCGCCAAATTTGAAAAATTCCTTCAAAACTAAACAAACTCTTGCCTAAGCTGTGACAATATATTACCATAATTATTTTATTATCAAAATTGAAATTTATCCCAAGCGAAATTAATTTTAAAAAAAGTCTTAAAATATATACAAAATAATAACAAATTGAATCAATAAAGCTAAACTTATTAAACAACATTCTTCTTCAAAAAACTCGGGGTCCATCTGGAATACTTGCTGCCTTCTTGATCACGTTTAGCTGCGGCCTGAGCTTCCAATTCGTCTATCAAACGTTTCTGCTTTTCTCTGAACGCCATTATTGGGTCATCATATTTACTGTAAACTTTAAGTACTTCTGTGACATCTTCAATATCGTTATCCGCAATGGCTTTGAGGAAACTCACTAGGTCAAACAGTGAGGTATCGTCGTCGCTTCCATTCCATCTTTTAATGTTAAACAAATTTTCAGGATTGAATTTCACATTGTTACCATTCCAGTCTATGCAAATTACTTTGGTCAAGTCCCTATTCAGTCTGTCTAAGCTCTTAACGTGATTGCCTCCAGTAAAATGTGTAGCATCTCTTACTAGTTTATAGGCGATAATGTTTTTAGGATCAATAGCTTCAATTAAAGGGAATACAGTCATCCCTTGTTCAGCTGTATAAACAACAATTTCATATTGATCTTTGAGAGATTCAAGGAAATAATCTAATAAAGGACGCTTTTTAAATCTCCAGCCAGTATTGTAGGTCCAATCAGGATGCACTAAAACATCTGTCAGCTCCAGTACTAAAGTATATTTTGGTTGGATGTAAGGATATTGTAAAGGATCTGGAAGTAGTTTTTCTCTGGAAGGTTCTCTTATTAATTTGCGGTAATACTCTAGTTCCCTTATAGCTCTTAGGAAATATTGTTTAATTAAGAAATAATCTGAATACTGGTCTCTTATTGGTACACCATCTTCGTCTTTTTGAGGGGCTCCAAGCGAAACAACCATATACGTACCAATAGAACTAAATCCAACTCCAAAAAACAACAAAGTTAGTTTCATTGTACGCCAGGATTGTTCGCGTTGTTTAGCTTTTTCTTCTTCATCGTTTGTGTCCTGCTTTGTTTCAGATTGGGCCTGTTCTTTAGGGGTATTACTCAGTAGACTTGAAAGGGGTGTTTTGTATTTGGGGTCCTGGTTTGTGTTGGAGTAACATCGTTTTTCTTGTTGAATATGGAATACTGCGTAACGTTGCCACGAGTATCTAGGTTTTTCTTTGATTATGTTGGTTAATATGTTCACCGGCCTGAGTAATGATCTCAACATTTTTATAATTACGGTATTTTATTATTTTTCTCAACTCAACATCTCGCTTCAAATTTTTTTTACACGAAACATAACCTCACTTTGAGACACTCGTAGCGTTTTCTTTTATCCAATCTAGTGTAGCAAGTTTGGGTAGTTTAGAACAGGAAAATATTTAATAAAAACTCAATTCTTTTTTCAATATTTTATTACAGATTCTGCAAAAGAAAATTAATTAGGTATTACAGGGCAAAATTAACTAATTTAATTATAAGTCATATATCTGGGGGTGGCCGAAAACTTGGCATAAGACTTGATAACCTTATTAACAGCTTCCAAAAAGTCTTTTTCCGTTGCCACCTTCCTCCTAGCTCTGATTGCAAACATACCTGCCTCGGTGCACACTGACCTGATTTCTGCACCAGTTGAATTCGGACACAACCTAATAATAAATTAATTAATCAAATCATCATTATTCAAATTTCTGAATTCTTACCTAGCCAAAAGCTCAAATCTAATATCCCTTTCAACACTCATAGACCTAGCATGAATTTTAAAAATATGCGTCCTGCCTTCCAAATCTGGCAATCCAAACTCCACTTTCCTGTCTAAACGTCCAGGTCTCATCAGTGCAGGGTCCAAAGTATCAGGCCTGTTAGTGGCCATAAGAACCTTAATATTTCCTCTAGGATCAAAACCATCAAGCTGATTAATCAGCTCCAACATAGTCCTTTGGACTTCGTTGTCCCCACCAGCTCCATCATCGAATCTGGCCCCACCAATAGCATCAATTTCATCAAAGAAAATTAGACAGGCCTTTTTGGAGCGGGCCATTTCGAATAATTCACGCACCATTCTGGCACCCTCTCCTACGTATTTTTGTACTAATTCTGAACCAATTACTCTGATAAAGCAGGCATCAGTACGGTTGGCTACAGCACGGGCGCAAAGCGTTTTTCCTGTACCAGGTGGGCCAAATAGGAGGACACCTTTTGGTGGTTCAATACCAAGTTTTACAAATTTTTCAGGCTAAAAACAACTTAGTGATTTAATCTGAATCTGAAAATAATACAGGTTTGACATACATGCAATAGTGGAGTCTCCACAACTTCCCTTAGTTTGTCAATTTGTTCCTTACAACCTCCAACATCACTGTAAGTTACATCAGGTTTTTCTTCTACCTAAATAATTTACCAAAAATTAAAAAAAATTCAAGTGATTTGGGAGAAAAATTTACCTGCATCATTGTAACAGTGGGATCAATTTTTGGAGGCAAAGGAATGTGGATTTGGTACTTGTTACGATCAACTCTGCAAAATTAATTTCAATTTAACTAAAGCTTGACTCAAGTGCAGGGATTCTTACCCAACTCTCATTCCTTCCTCAATATCAGTAGGTGCAACAGAATCAGCCAAGTCCACCACAAATTTAGCAAATTGTTTAACATTGATAATGTATTTTGGATCATCAGTGTCTGCATTGATGATTTTGGTGCATCTGGCCACTTGGAGTGGCTGCTCATTTTGTAATGTTTGTTTATCAGCTGCCAAGTCCCACAGGGCTGGTGGAGCCAAACCAGTATCAGATTCTTTGATACCTGTGAGTTCGTTTACTCGTTTGATGATGGTTTGGATGTCTTCTTCGACGGTTTTGATGCTTTTTGTGTATTGGCCTTGGCCCTGGATTAATTAGATAAATTAGAAACTGGAAAATGGGGGGTTGGAATTGTGGTCAATGAATGGTGTTTAAAGTTCAGGAATTAACAAGCAGTATTAAAGGTACTTACGTAGGTCTTCAAAAGGGCAATGTCTCCTTCATCCAGAGCTACAAATTAATAGTTTAATCATTTTCCTTAGTTGGGGCACAGTTTGAATAGAAATAAACAATTTCACAGTAGGTAACTTACATTTTATTTCTTTTTCCTCTTGTTCAGGCTCAGTTTTCAATTTTCTCATGTCATCTCCCAAGTGGTCCGGCATCTTTTCAATTTATAATACGAAAGAAAACTTTGAAAATAATTTTACTTTGTTGTTTTTGGAGGATTACAAGCAGAATTTTTCAATTTTCTGCAGGAAGATGATGGAACTTTGACATTAATGACGTGACAATTGACATTTCTTAATAGAAATCGCTTCTCTTTCTCAGTAGTACCGCGCTTCGGTGCTAGATGGCGCGAGCTGTTTCGAAGGCACTTTCGTTTTCGGGTATTTACAAGCAAGCTTAAGGGCCGGTTTCTCAATAACAAGTCACCCTCGGGTTGAGGATAACTTCAGGGTAAACATTGCAACCGGACACGTTTACCCAAAATTTAAAACCAACCCAGAGGAGACTCGCTATTGAGAAACCGACTCGGGTCATTTATATCCACTTTAGACACGTTAAACCTGTAGTTAAGTTAAAACCAACTTGGAGGTGACTCGCTAATCACTATTAAAAAACCGACCCTCAGTGGCGGATAATTTTTTCCCCTTCTATTTTTTTCTAATTGGTTATTTCTAACTACTCCAAGCAGTATCAAAGTAGCAGAAACCAAGATCGGAACTTTGAATAAGTCTCTGTGACGTAATTATCACTAAAAAAACGACTTTTCAGATTTTCCTACTTTTGTCTAGACTTTTTTGGTAGTTCTGCAGTTACTAACTAATTTGCAACTCAATAGCTTCAGTAGCTTTGAAAGTTTCTGAAATTCTGAAACGGAAATGTTTCATACCTTTACGGAAACGCTGATCCGCTTAACCCGATCACCAGCTGATGTAATTTGTTTTTAATCGTTTCAAAAAGTTCGTGTCCGCTTTGAAGAAAGATGAAAAAAAAAAAAAAAAAAACAGCCTATGATCGGGTTAATCGGATCAGCGTTTGCGTAAACGCCTAGCGGTATCAGTAACACTGAACATGTCAAATTAACATTTGACACTACACTTGCAGTTAACTAAATTTAAACCGGCCTTAAGCCTAGTACTCACTACTCATAACCAATAATGAACTCATAACAGCGATATTCGCTCTTTTATTGACATAGCTTCGACAATTTGACGTTTTATGCGTGAATCAAACGTCAAATTGTCGAAGCAATTTAAAAAAAAAAAATTTCGCGGTTATGAGTACTATTATAGGCTTTAATATTAGATACTCTCATAGCGAATTCGTTTGGAAGGGTTAGTGCAAGGGGAATATAAACTCTAAAGGCCGGTTTCTCAATAGCAAGTCATCCCTGGCAGTCCTGGCAGAGTAAACATAGGAACTGGACACGCTTACCCTGGAGTTAAAACTAACTCGGAGGTGACTTGCTATTGAGAAACCGTCCCTAAGGAGTGCTTATCGGCCTCGTTTTTGGTAATCGCCGCCATATTGGTGTGATACCATTTCCGACGTCATAACCGTCAAAACTAAGTCGTCAGCTGTTCAAACAGTCAACGTCAAGGTGAGAAATAACTAAGCCCCCCAAATTTGTTGTCGGGACGCGTAAATGTCCCGTATTCTCTGATAATTTACGTCTCATTCCCAGTCTCTTTGATGGCATAAATAAATCGTTTTTGACGCCTCATCTCTAGTCTCAGCAAATCGCAACGTGGTGGTTATTCGACAGCATTTGATATTTGACAGTTTAGAATTTAAAGAGTTCAGCTCAAGGATAATACACACCACTAAGGATTGCTTATCGGCCTCGTTTTTGGTAATCGCCGCCATATTGCCGACGTCATCAACTAAGTCGTCAGCTGTTTGCGCCAGCAGTCGTGGTTTAGAATTTCAATTTATGATGAAAAATATTATTTAATTTTAATTTTAATTAACATGATAGGCAAATAGGAAGACGCAAACGAGATCTAAAAAATAGTTGTTTTAAAATGTTAATTTATGTAGTAAAACCAAGTATGCATAAAGCAAAAGCCCGTGGAATCATAACCTCTGGTGCAAACAGCCTACATCAAGGCGAGAAACCACATGCTGCCTACGTCACAAATGGTAATTTGGTGGACTAGGGGTTTCAGATTTTCTCTACACAGGCCTTATGAGGATAGGCTATATCCTGTAGTAGTAGTGTGTATTATCCGTGGATTCGGCCTACGGGCGTGGTCCCGAAAAAAAAAATTCGCCTGCGGCATTAGTTTTTCTATAAATACCTGAAACATCTGCTTCATAAAAATGTGCCGTTTTTTTATCATAATAATATGGTAGCCTTAGAAATAACATGCTGCCTACGTCACATCTGGTATTTTGACGTGGGGGGAATTTATTTGTTACACACAGGTCTAAAGCTTAATAGGAAGGTTCGACATTTTTTGTTATTCTTTTATTTAAACTGAAATCGAGAGATTTTATTATTAGAAAACGATCAAAAAAAATTTGAACGCAAAATATTAATATTTGCTTTTGTCGCGAGCAGTTTAAAATCAACGAAAGGCGCCAAGATAAAAACGTACCTCTACGCGAGACTAGGCTGCATGACGTCAGTAGCCAGGTACGCCACGTGAATTCATATACCCTCCGTATCGGCCTTTACGCAAACGCTGATCCGATTAACCCAATCACCACCTGATGTAATTTGTCTTTTTTCAATCGTGTTTATTGAAGAAAGATGAAAAACAGAAGCTTGTGATCGGATCAGCGTTTCTGTAAAGGCTTATACGGAAAGTATACTAATTCACATGGCGTGCCGGCTACTGACGTCACGCAGCCTAGCCTCGCGTACAGGTACGTTTTTTATCCTGCGCCGATCGTTGATTTTTAACTGCTCGCAACCAACGTAAATATTAATATTTTGCGATCAAATTTTTTTAATCGTTTTTTAATAGCAAAATCTCTCGATTTCAGTTTAAATAAAACAATGTCGAACCTGCCGATTCTCACTTGCGCGAAATTCGTTTTTTTTTTTTGACATTGCTTCAACAATTTGACGTTTGATACACGCATAAAACGTCAATTTGTCGAAGCAATGTCAAAAAAGAGCGAATTTCGCGCAAGTTAGATTTAAGCTTTATGAGGATAGGTCATGCTGTAGTAGTAGTGTGTATCATCCATATTATTCTGACAAAAAAACGGGACATTTTTATGAAGCAGATGGCCTCCTGCTCCTACCCCATCAAATCACCATTTGTTACGTAGGCAGCATGTCGTTTCTCGCCTTGACGTAAGCTGTTTGCACCACAGGTTATGATTCCGCGGACTTTTGCTTTATGCATACTTCATTATTTAAAATTCTAAAACAACTATTTTAGATCTCGTTTGCATCTTCCTCTATTTGTCTATATGCAAAATTAAATAATATTTTTCATCATAAATTTAAATTCTAAACTACGACTGCTGGCGCAAACAGCTGACGTTGCTGACGACTTAGTTGATGACGTCGACAATGGTGATACACCAATTTGGCGGCGATTACCAAAAACGAGCAATCCTTAGTGGTGTGTATTATCATTGGCCGAACTCGCCAAATTAGGCAATCCAACGACCTGTCCAAATGGCCTCTGGTTGGCAAACAATAAACAAACAAAAAATGTTTTTTTTTTGGCGGGACTAAGCCTAGTACCCATAACAGCGAAATTCACTCTTTTTTGACAATTGCTTCGACAATTTGACGTTTTATGCGTGAATCAAACGTGAAATTTTCGAAGCAATGTCAAAAAAGAGCGAATTTCACGGTTATGAGTGATAGGCTTTATCAATACACGGGGCCAGTACTCAAATCTGACACTTTTCTGACATTGTTGACATGTAACAACCCGTATTCTAACCTCATAAAATTTTCAAAATGCCGGCTGGTTGGCAGAAGTCACGTGGTTTGGATTCCCTAATTCTAAACTGTCAAATGTCAAATACTGTTGAATAACACTTTGAATAACCTCTAGGGTGCGTTTGAAACCAACCTGGGCGTCACACCGAGTGCACACCAGCTATGAATTATTCATGGTGTGCACTCGGTGTGACGCCCCGGGTGATTTCGAACGCACTCCTACGTTGCGATTTGCTGAGACTAGAGATGAGGCGCAAAAATCGATTTATTTATGCCACAGCAGAGACTAGGAATGAGACGCAAAAATTAATTATTTTACGCTTTTTAAAATACCAGAGAATACGGGACGCGTAAATGTCCCGACAACAATCTGAGGACTTGGGATATGGACCTTGAAATAAGAGACTGTCCCGTATAAAGCCTAGTACTTCGCACTTTTTTGACATTGCTTCGACAATTTGACGTTTGATTCAGGCATAAAACGTCAATTTGTCGAAGCAATGTCAAAAAAGTGCGAATTTCGCAGTTATGAGTACTAGGCTTAATACGGAACGTATGACAGGCTTAGCTATCCGCTTTCAGTAACTTTGCCTTGTTATCCATCGTATACCTACACCACCTTGACCTACACCCAAGGTTTCTAAAGTTGATAGGTGGCGTAATGGCAGGTAATGGTAGATTTGCATTATGATGAGCCGCCCCAGAGGACCTCATACAGTTATCAGGCAATCTACGTACCTCTCTCAAACAACCTTGAAATTATACCTAAACATTCTAGAATGCTTCAGAGCGTTCAAAAACCTATTTACATTTTCCAAAAGCATTTTTGAACAATTCAGAAGCTTGAAACCCATTTTAGGACGCTCTAAAACACTCAATAACCACTCTAGAATTTCCAGAAACATTTTGAAAAGCGCCAGATTCTTAGTATTCAGGTTAAAAGTTACATACGCCATACGCCTAAGGGATCGAGTTCAAGAGCGAAATTGAATTGCTGTACTTTAAACCTTCAATAAGGATCCAAAACAGTTCAAATCGAAATCAGAGTTTTCAGGAACATTTTGGAACAACTGCAAAAACTTCAAAGTTACCTTCTTCTTCTTCGTCAGCTCGTGTCTATCCATTGTCGGATATGGGCTTCTTCCAAGTTTTTCCATGTCCCGCGATCTCTCGCTAATCTCATCCATTGTCCCCCTGCCACCGTTTTGACATCGTCTATCCATCTTTTTTAGGTCGTCCCACATTTCTTGTTGTTCCTCTTGGTCTCCAGAGTGTCGTTTTCTGGGTCCATTCATCTGGGTCTTGTCTCGTCACATGTCCGATCCATTGCCACTTCTGGCTTGCTACCCTTTTCACAACATCCGTGTCATCCGTCACTTTGGTTCTATCACGTACTTGCTCATTTCGTACTCTATCTCTTAAGGTGATTCTCTCTATGGCTCTCTATGCGACTCTCAGTTGCTCACCTGCTGTTCGGGTTATTGCCGTAGTTTCTAAGCCGTAGGTATAGCCTCTTGATAATTTGCAAAAGTTTCAAAAATTTCTTCTAAATTGAAGAAAAAATAAGAAATTCACATTGTCTAATGCATGATTCTGTTTTTTGTACTCCAAATATTCCATTATTATTTTATTTAAGCAATAAACTCATATCTATATGTTATTTTGGTTACCTGTAAATAGAACTAGTAACCTTTATGCCGCAGATAACAAAATTAGAGATAAGCCCATGACCTGAACGCACCTGGATACAAAAGTCGCGACACTATTCAATTTTTACCCACATAAGGTTGTTTTGTGATGAGTGCGGTCGTCTGATAGTTTAATTTTTATTTACCTCTTTATTCAGTTTATAAGTTGTTACAGTTTTTGGAGTTAATGGAATTATTAAGGTAGAGTATCAAAATAATCAATTTATGAATCGTTTACTGAAAATATTTTTTTCTTACATTTTACTATATTTACACTAGAGTACCTAACTAGTACTTTTCTATCCTGCTTAGGATTAATTATTACTTCGGGACTAATTATTATTACTTGAAACTAAAAACCAAAAAATTATATTTTCGATTATTGAGAATAAAAATCTATTATAAGAAACCGTCCTTAAAAACATATATGTGTATAATAATCAAAAAAAAAAATACTACAACACAGCCAACATTTCATCTTATTGCTTCACTTCTTAAGTCATTCATCCCACCATCAAACCACTTGAATATTATTAGAAACCGACTCATCTCTAAACAACTTATTGCTGACATCCCCAATTTGATCGTTCATCCGTTTCAGTTCCTTCATGCTAATTTCGTACTTATGAGCGACCAGAGACCTATAAAAATGTATAGCAAAAGCTAAAAATACAAACAAAACTGGTATCAGGACTATAGTCGCTGACCAGGCGGCTACAGTGTTGATATGATAAAACTTCAACCAGCAAATTATAGCAATTTCAGCCAAAAACAACAATAAACCTAGCAAAGTTGAAAACGCCCATGCTATTTCAATATACCAATGTAGTCTTTCGTGCGGAGACTCGTCTACAAAATTTATAGACTCCAAACTGCATACTGTTTCAATGTTTGGTAGAATGCAAGTGCTGATCATTAAGGCTAGCATGTGAACAGCTACAAGCAATGTAGTGATAACCGCGAAAACTACTAAAACTGGTGGTGGAATGGAGGTTTCGTTGTTGAGCTGTAACTCTACCATGGCCACCATTGCAAAGCCTGAAAGTAGAGCTGATGTTTTGCTGGAAGCTTTCAGTTTGGCTTTGGACAGGTGCATTTTGCGCCACGATAGGTAGTTGGGGGTGTGAAGGATGTCGTCGGACATTGAAAGTTTTTTAGGCTGGAAATAATTCATATGGGAAGTTGAAATTTTTGATAGGTGGAATGTACCTTATTGTGGCCTCTATTGAATAGCTGAATGTTTTCTGTGGATGTATATTTGTTTGTTGGTTTGTCTGCGTTCATTCCTACTGCGCTTGTGCTCCAAACGTACATTAACTCACAAAATTCTGAAAAAAAATTAATTATAATTAAATAGTATGATAAAGGTTCTAGTTAACAAAGTTCATACCTATATGGAAGAAAATAAAATACAGAAATCAGAATAGCGATCACTTTCTGGTTGTGATAATATTCAAAAAGAGAAGATATTGTTAGAAATAAATTGCAGAAATTTATTGTCACAGAATTTATGTCCGCCTCCGCCACGGACAGCTGATTCGAAATTTTACGTTGATATTCGGGAACAAGGTCAATCGCGGTTTTTCCGGATTTTACATGAATAGATTTACGGATATATAAAGGCCGGTATTAGTCAGTAGTTTACGTTTGACTGTGATATGTTCTAGATAGTGATTATTGTTGAGAATTGTAAAGAGTTGAGTTGTTTGAGCGTAATTAGTGTCAGAGTGTTTTGTTAAGTGGAATAAAATATTGCTGTGTTAATTGGACTTTTATTTTGGAATAAACGGACCGAAGATTTCTGTCACGTACACCAAAGCTGTGACTCTATGAAAAAAAACTTGACGGATGAATGATAAAATGTAGAAATCGAGGAAAGAAAAGCTATAATAGATGGTGGAAGTTGAAAGAGATATAAAAACATCACTGTCTGTCAGCAGAACAAACATTTTGATGTGCGATAAGATCATCAACGGATTATTATTTTCATAATCCAGTGACTCTATTTCAAAACTGTATGCATAGAGGAAAACTCTGAAGGGAACATAGATGGAAAAACGTATTCAAGAGGAATCCTCTTACAATAGAGATTCTGGATGAAATAAAAACTTCAGGGTGAATTTCTTTTACGAAAGAATCCACAACGTAAATAGACCTGAGTAGGACAAGATAGAAGAACTGAGAAAGACATGGACTTGGATTATGCATTGGCTTAATACAGATATTTCCAAAGCTGTCGTATACGAATACTAATTTGATACAGAAATAATAATGAAACCAATAAAAAACAACTATGAGAGTTTTGGAAAGATATTCAGAATCTAGAAGACAGTAGAATATCAATGAATAAGCTACAACTGGACTCTGACTAATTTATCGAACACATTATATGATATCAAGGTTATTGATTCTGTTGTCTGTTGAGAGAATATCATGTTCGAATTCTCATGTGGCTCCAAACTAAATCGATTCTGGAATGTTTTTTTCTAAATTGATTATTATTCGAGTCAGTTATTATCTCACTTACTTGGAACTCCAGTATTTCTATTATTTCTACTAAAATTCGTCGGTCTTGTCAGAGGAACTTTAATCGGAGGAACAGATTTTTTACCGTTAATTGGTCGTTGTTCGGATATTAAGGAACACGACGTTTCCGTTTCATCTTGTGACGACGACGAAATCGACGGTTGATAAATTTTATCGTTTGCTGATGAATCTAAAATAAAAATTCAATTTACCCAAATGAAAAATATAATATATACAGTCTGGTTATAAGTCAAATACACGACTACTATTATCCGCAAATAATTTACCCGAAGTTTTTATGTGTACAAACAATGGGCAAAATTACCATCATAACTAATTGTTTTGATTATCGTTATTACTTAATTCAGAGGCGTAGAATATTTTAAGTGACTTATTTACACAATTTGTCGAATCGCGTTCCTCGGTTTAATAAAGAATCGTTTAATTGTGGAGTTGAGCCAATTAATTCACTCATTTGCGTTGCCAGCATGTTACATTGACAAACATTAATTAGTTTTATTTTAAGAGTTTTATTGACTACTTGCATTCATAAATTTTTGATGCAATTTTTTGTATGTGGATGCGCCTATGGGCCATAGATTATGGATAGTACAAAAAAAGAGGATTTATGCTTGCCTTTTTTTTTTTGTAGATAGGTACTTAGAAACCAATTGATTTGCAATGGATCTAAATGATAATTAATGTACAAAAAATAATATGCTAAATTACATGATTTTTGCTCTCACCTGCTGTGTCCATTCTTTTACTATTCTATTTCCTGACATAAGCTTATGACATCTGGATACAAACAACTATTCATGTGGATATCAAACAAGCTTATTTTTAGTTACAGATATTATTTGAGTATCCAAAACGGTTCTGTGAGTTTTTGAATATTGTTTGATTATCCGAAAAACAATTTGTAAACATTTGTTTGTCGTTGCAAAGCCAGGCGACACGACACGCTTGAATTTTGTCAATATCATATGACTAAACTGGACAGAACAGAGGAATGTGTTATCCAGATTAAAACTGGGAATATTTGGATGCGCGCGCCTGGATACGATTTAGTCCGGGATCATAGTTTGAAATATCTAGGTTTACAATTAGTTGATTTTTTTTCAAGTTTTCTTCGTCCTTTTCCTTCGATGCAATTTTTTTAGTTTTCCTTTCGGCACTTTTTGAAAAACTTGGAAGGAAAAAATACTGAAATAGATAAAGGTTTATGGTTTGTTCTCCATTCAAGAGCCGGGAATTGACAAAAGTTGCTATTTCTTCAAAAACAAATTTTAAAAAGCATTTTTAGAAGACAAAATCTGAAAACAATTCAATATTTTTTCTATTCCCGGTTCTTGAATTTAATCTACTTTTCAATTAAGTGAATCCAAGACTCAGTACCCACCTCATTAGGCAGGATGGATGGTATTTTAAACAATCAACATTTATATGAAGGTTTTTTTCTCAAATCAATTTTCAGTAGGTACATATATCCCGTACTTTCACTGCTATTTTACTCAGATCTTTCCGCATTCTTTCAGTAATTTGGTGAAAAAGCCAAGAAACTGGAATAATTAATGTAGTATTTTTTTCCTCTTTTTGCAAACTGCACTGTATTCAGTGGCGGATACAGTGGGGGCAGAGGGGCAACCGCCCCCCCCCTTTTTAAAATAAAATAATAAAATTAAAAAAAAAAAAAGAAAACAAAACCATATTTTAAGTTTTAAGAATGTTTAGAAAGCTGGAAACCTATAAAAAAATCACACTTTTGTCTTTGTCCCAAGAATTTTAACCTCAAACAGTAGGTATATCATTAGTGGTTGAGTTGTATTGTTTTTTTTGTTTTGTTCTAATAAGTAAATATTCATACAAAATCAATAAATTATGTATAGGGTGTTTTTTTATATATTGACATCCCACCTACAGCCTTTACCTTTATAGGTAGATGAAAGGTGTGAATACAAAAGTTGTACAGTATTGGCTAAATTTGTAAAATCCATGGTCAAAAACAAAAATTGAATGTCAGAAATGTGAAATATTGCATGCTTTTAGCTTTTTTCAAATGGGATGCGCTATATGTATTTGGTTCTATATTCTTGAAGAACACAATTTCCCGATTCCAAAACTATTTAGTTTGTTTATATTTGGTTGAGCCGTCTCCAACATATTTATTGGTTCTAAAAATTTAAAAAATACTATCAGAGAAACCAAGTATCTACCTCAAATTTTATCTGCAGCTCTCACCTGTACATACAGGTAGAATGGTTCACAAAATCAGTAGTAGAATAGTATTTTTACAATTTTTGGAACCAAATATATGAGAGATTGCTCAATCACATAAAGATCGGGGCATTGTGCTCTTCAAGAATATAGAACCAAATATAGGGCATCCCATTTGAAAAAAGCTGGAAGCATGCAAAATTTCACATTTCTGACATTCAAATTTTGTTTCTGACCATGGTTTCTAAAAATTCAGCCAAAACTGTACAACTTTTGTATTTACACCTTTCTTTTACCTGTAAAGGTAAAGGCTGTAGGTGGGGTGTCAATGTATAAAAAAACACCCTGTACAAATAAGTGGATTATTGCGGAACTTATGGGTGGACCTCTGCGGGACGAGCGCAGCGAGTTCCGCAGCCATCTACTCACCAATATACTGTTGAACTGTTCAAATAAGACACTCACCTGAAACGTGTAGTTTTTGTACTAATGAGAAAAATTCTCAACTGAGTGAATCAGGTTAGTATTGTACTTGAACAACATACTGGTGAATAGATGGGTGGGTTTACCCATAAGTTCCGCAACAATCCACTCGTTTGTACTTGAATAACTTGTCGCAATATATTACTAGTTTGGTAAAGTGACATTATTAATTCCTGTTGCAAGGCGAATTGACAAAAAGGGGATAATCTTGATAATCTTACAAATTCTGTTTATATAATACATTATTTTTCAGAAAAAAATAAGTGGATTGTTACGGAACTTATGGGTGGACCTCTGCAGCCATCTTTTTTTTTATGGCACTGGTTTAACCAACTTTCCAGCTTCCCTTCTTTTTTAATTTATTACTGATTAACAATTACGGGTTAATGATATAAAGTTTGTCGAAATTTCTCATGACGATTCTTATAATTTTACATGCATATATGTACAGGGTGGTCCAAATTGGCCACTTTCTTATGGAAACACCCTTTATTTTTAGAAAAAAATGGACCCCCCACTCTGAGACTCAAATTTCATGAAATCTTGATTGGTGCAAACCGCATTTTGATATTTTCAACCGTTTAGCTGTTAGAGGGCGATTCTCGATTTTGAGCAATACTGTAGGTAAAGCCTCCATAACTTTTCTGTTTATGAAAGTAATTCATTTCCGTAAAGACCTTTTGGAAGCACTTTTTCAAGCAGAATTCAGAGACGTTCTCAGTTTTTTTCTGTCTGGCTTCGATTTCGAGATATTGACCAAAATCCTATTTTTTTCAATAGGAACCCTATGTAGATTATTTTTTGTTAATATATTTTTTTTTCTCTTTTTTTTATAATACTATATTTTCATTGATAATAAATTTATACAATTCCCTACATAAATCTACATTTTCCGATATCATTATTGTACTTAAATTGAATGGAACTTTTAGAATTTCTCTTGCATAGCTATAATTAAATTATCAAAGTTATGTCCATTGTGCTCCATACAAATCCAAAATATAATGATCAAAGTCCCCAGTTTCACCGCATGTACAGGCTGTTTCCTTATATTTTGACCCCTACCTACAGCTTTAGCTATACGAGGTGGAAAAAAACTTTAAATATGAAAGTTGTAGGGTTTTATGTCTATTATCTTTTGCGGATGTCAAAATGGGCAAATGACAGGTGCCAACTGTCACAATAACAAACACAATCTATCATTCTAGCCAAAAATATACAGGGTGTTCCATTTGAAAAATGCAAGTGTTTGGCATTGTGACAGTTGGCACCTGTCATTTGCCCATTTTGACATTCGCAAAAGATAATAGACATAAAACCCTACAACTTTCATATTTAAAGTTTTTTGCCACCTCGTATAGCTAGCGCTGTAGGTAGGGGTCAAAATATATGGAAACACCCTGTACATTTTTCGTCATTTTTTAGTCCTATTTTTTTCATGTGGACAGGATACAGCGCATGTTGATTTCTTAATCGAGAAATAACTCTTACAAAATTTTTATTGATTTCTTTATAGAACCAAGGTTTTTTCCGGAGATTTGGGAATAAAACTACTTTATAATAACGACCCTTATTTGATCTGCCATACAGATCCTGACAATTATAGAATAGCCTGTGTTTTGCTGTTGAGAAAATATCAGTACCTATATGGTAAAAGGAAATGCTCGGTGACATTTTTGAATTTTGTAGCTTCCTTCGCAAACTTGTCCACTATTTCGTTTCCCCTTATGCCAATATGGGCTTTGGTCCAAACCTTAGACCATATAGTTAATGGTCTAAGGTCCAAACTAAGATAACATTTTTTTCAATGTCGTGAATGCATCAAAAATATTTTTTATTATATAATTGGCAGGAACCCCAATGTAACAATTGTTTAAGGCTTCTAATGAACTTTTGCTGTCTGTAAATATTACAAAATTATGGTTTTCCTCAAACTCTATACAATATAACAGCGATTCCCAGATAGCCCAAAGTTCTGCAGAGAATATAGAGGCTTCATCATAGAGTCTCATTTGTTTAGACATTTTTTTGATTTTGTGGAAGAAGGCATATGCCGTTCTATTATTTAGAACAGAACCATCTGTGTAAATTTGTTCGTAATTTGCATAAGTGGAATTCAAATTTTCTAAAAATAAACTCTTTAGAATCGTGCATTTTCCGCTTTTTTTTTTATCAAAAAGTGAATATGATCTTTCCAGAGCAATTTTTTGTCTAATTGGATTCCTAGGTATTGCACTGTATTTTTATGTGGTATTGTAAGGTGCTCACCTAACTTTAAGAAGTTAGGTAAAGCAGTTCTTTTTCTAGTGAAGGTGCAAGCTACTGATTTCTCCAAAGATAGACTCAAAACATTGACGTTGAACCATGTCAATACTTCCGAAAATTTCTTTCGTAGTTTTGCATGGCAGTTTTCTTATAGTGCATCCTTTGTGTATATGCAGACATCGTCGACAAATTGTAGAATTCTAATGTCATTATTAAACTGATCTTCTAAGTCAAATGTATATATATAATATATAGAAGTGGACTGAGTATACTACCCTGGGGTAGTCCCATTTTGGCTAATCTAGGTTCTGTTAGGTTTTCCTGAGTCCTTATGAGCAGTTGTCTACCACTGTAGAGATCTTGAATGTTTTTTACAATTTTTCCAGGGAATCCAATTTTTAATAATTTTGTAAACAAAATGATATTGTCCTAAGCTTCTTGTATATCTATAAATATTGCCGAAGTACAGTCCCCAACAAACACAAGTACGTCTTTAGTACGTCCATAATTCGTACTTTTTCGGACGAAAGTACGTCCCCGGACGTACTTTTTAGGTCCCGCCGACGTACGAGGGACGTCTTTAAGACGGTCGTTTTCCACAAAATAGTACGTCCCACGTACGTACATTCAGGGACGTACCACATACGTACATTAAGGGACGTACTCAGTACGGCTTTTTAGGTACGTGTTGGGGACGTACATTAACGTACGTATTTAGTATAGCTTTTTAGGAATGTGTTTGGGACGTACAGGGTTTTCCCATATATTTTTTTGCACCTTACCAGAACTGGTTGATTGAATAGGTATCAAAAATATGTAAATACAAATGTTGTATTTACACCTTTTTGATACCTATTCAATTAACCTGTCCAGATAGGGTGCAAAAATATATGGAGAAAACCCTAAACATAGAGGTACGAGGTACGTATTTATGTGTAGGTATCTTTATAGTGAAAAATAAAACCATATAAATATGTATTGTATTTTCAAGTTACAATTTTCATACTCAATAAATCCCTTAACAATAACACTAAAAAACTGAAAAAAATTAACACAATATCAAATATAACATACTCTTAAACTTAACCCTATTAAACAACAGTACATACAAAAAAAAACCTACCTAATATGACAAAAAAAATGAAGGAAAAGTGAAGAAAAATTCCAACCTAAAAAAAATATACAGAAATAGAAGATAGGTATTCTACAAACATAATAATATAGAGAATTGTAAAGGGGCATAAACCAGAAAAAGTTTCACACAGTAATAATCTTGGTTAAAAGTATTATTATCGGTACACACAAAATACATAGTAAATTGGTATAGCCAAGCCGCGAAGCCGCCAAGCTAAACACTTAAACCACAGTTTCGGCGTTGCTGCAATCAATACAAAATGGTTCTCGCGTCACTTGATTTGGCAAAAAAAAACAAAAATAGAAGAAAACAAAACCTCACAGTCCTCACACCACTCTACAAACAAACACAAGAAAAAAAGGCAAATGTAGACAGGAACAACTCAAGCGAGGCGTCACATCAAAATGATGAGCCCTCGATAAGCTGTGGTCGAAGATGCCAGTGTTGCCAGATTTCAAATTCAAAATAATCAGAAAAAGTTTGCGTCAATTTTTTTGACTTTCATCTCTAATCTCTATTTATATTTTTCTAACAAAAAAATTAACCAAAAACTAACGGTGCTTTGAGCTCAACTCATTTCTAGCTGGGAAGTATTTGATGCGACCACAAGTACACGTCAAAACCACCAACCAAATAAATTTTTAATTTTCAACTAAAAATTTTAAAGATATGCATTGAAATTGTAGTTTCATTCAATTATGGTAGATTTAGCTTGTGATTATCGATTATTGAATTGTAGTCAAAATGATGGTAGATTTCGATAATTATCGGGTCCTTGGCAACACTGCACCCTGCTGATGTCAAGCCGCCGACGTCCCTTGCTTTCCAATGGTTTATTTCATGTTTATCTTGAAATTTGACCATTTATTTAGGTCAGGTACCTAGATGAAATATAAATCCTTGATTATATAATATGACCTGCACAAAACGTTTATAATGACTATTTATTCGTAGGTATTTATTAAGTTTAGATCTAAGGTTTAGAGAAATCCATGTCAACCTGACCGGCATTTTTGGGTTTACGTTTAGAGGTTAATTTGGAAAGCTACCACTCCCGTATCTTTTGCTCGGAAATTGCATATAATTTGAAAATATCTTATGATCAGAAAATAATCAAAAAAACATGAATAGATGGGGATGATCCAGCACGTCTTGTATTGTACGTCTTTGAAACGAACATGTACGTCTTTTACAAGACGTACGCATTATAGATTCTTACGTACGTTCTTAGTACGTACTTTTTTGTCTGTATATTAATACAGCCTTTTACGTACGTACTCAAAACGTAGTCTTACATCCCGGACGAACCGACGTAAAACGGACCTAAAATGTACGTCTTCAGTACGTACTGTGTTTGTTGGGTCGTTTGCTGTGAATCCTAACTGAATATCGGTGACTAAGCTAGTTATAACTTCTTGCGTGGAACACAGTTTTTGTGTAATTGGGTATTTTCTCTTTTTTCCATCCAATATTCCATTCTATTTTTCAAAATCCGCTCATAAGTTTTGCATTCGCGATGCCAAAACTATCGGTTGATAGGAAGAGGCAGAGTTTAGTGGCTTTCTAGGCTTTAAAATAGGCACTATTATATAGGTATTTTGTCCAGTCTTCAGGCACAGTATGTTTTCCTTCATATATATTATTAAAGATTTTTAATATTTTTTTTTAACCGAGTATGGTAATTTTTCCAACATGGAGTATTGTATATTATCAATCCCTGGGGCAGTATTGTTTTTATTTTTAAGGGCTCTGTTAAGTTCTTCCATTTCAAATGGCTAACACATATAGGAGTTTTCTTCTGTTATTTGAGTGATCGGAATATAATTTGATACAAAACTAGGTGTTAGCTTTTTGTGGAAATCCCCCAACCAAGGATCGTCTGATGTAATTGGCTGACGATGTTCCTGTTTACGATTTTCAAAGCTATTCACTTTTTTTCTTCACCTTCAATGGTGTCCCATTCTAAAAATGGTTTTAAGCAAGGGGATCTAATCACCAATACACTGTTGAACTTTTCAAGTAAGACATTCACCTAAAACGTATAATTTTTAAACTAATGAGAATAACGCACAGTTTAGTATCGAAATTAAACAACATATTGATGAAAAGATGGCTGCGGAACTCGCTGCGCTCGTCCCGCAGAGGTCCACCCATAAGTTCCGCAATAATCCACTCGTTTGTACTTGAATAACTTGTCGCAATATACTACTAGTTTAGTAAAGTAACATTATTAATTCCTGTTGAAAGGCGAATTGACAAAAAGTGGACTATCTTACAAATTCTGACTTTATATAATAAATTATTTTTCAAGTACGAATCAGTGGATTGTTGCGGAACTTATGGGTGGCATTCAAGCATTCAAGGTAATTTTTTTGGTTGATTTTTTATGACAGTTTTTGGTGCAATGTTACATATTATTTTAATAGGTAGGTACGTGATCTGATCCAAATGGACCTTCAATGGTGTCCCATTCTAAAAATGGTTTTAAGCAAGGGGATCTAATCACCAATATACTGTTGAACTGTTCAAGTAAGACATTCACCTGAAACGTGTAATTTTTAAATTAATGAGAATAACGCACATTTGAGTGAGTCAGTTTATTATCGTACAACATATTGATGAATAGATGGCTGCGGAACTCGCTGCGCTCATCCCGCAGAGGTCCACCCATAGGTTCCGCAACAATTCACTTATTTGTACTTGAATAACTTGTCACATTATGTTACTAGTTCGCTGACAAATAGTGAATGATCATAATCTTACAAATTTTCACTTTACTTATATAATAAGTTCAAGTACAAATGAGTAGATTATTGCGGAACTTATGGGTGGACCTCTGTGGGACGAGCGCAGCGAGTTCCGCAGCCATCTACTCACCAATATACTATTGAACAATTCAAATGAGACACTCACCTGAAACTTGTATTTTTTGAACTAACAAAAATAACTGACATTTGAGTGAGTCAGGTTAGTATCGTACTTGAACAACGTATTAATGAATATAGGTATACATAAATTCCGCAACAATATACCCGTTTGTACTTGAATAACTTGTCACAATATATTACTAGTTTGGTGAAGTAACATTACTAATTCCTTTTGAAAGGCCAAATTGACAAAAAGTGGATAATCTTACAAATTCTGGTTTTATATACTTAATAAGTTATTGTTCAAGTACAGGGTGTTTTTTTATATATTGATACCCTACCTAGAGCCTTCCCCTTTACAAGTAGTGTAAATACAAAAGTTGTACAGTATTGGCTGAATTTTTAGAATCCATAATCAGAAACAAAAATTGAATGTCAGAAATGTGAAATGTTGCATGCTTTCAGCTTTTTTCAAATGGGATGCCTTATATTTGGATCTATATTCTTGAAGAGCACAATTTCTCGATTTCAAAACTATATAGTTTGTCTATATTTGGTTGAGCCGTCTCCAACATATTTGGTTCAAAATTTTTTAAAAATACTGAGAAACCAAGTACCTACCTCAAATTTTACCTACAGCTTTCACCTGTATAGGTAGAATGGTTCACAAAATCAGTAGTAGGATAGTATTTTTACAATTTTGGGTGCCGAATATATGAGAGACTGTTCAATCAAATATAGACAAACTCTATATTTTTGGAATCGGGGCATTGTGCTCTTTAAGAATATAGAATGAAATATAGGGCATCCCATTTAAAAAAAGCTGGAAGCATGCAAAATTTCACATTTCTGACATTCAAATTCTGTTTCTAAAAATTCACCCAAAATTGTACAACTTTTGTATTTACACCTTTCTTTTCCCTGTAAAGGTAAAGGCTGTAGGTGGGGTGTCAATATATAAAAAAACATCCTGTACCTACCTATTTAAAATCACCTTATTCTCCTAAATAGTTCCCCCATTCCCATATTTCTATGGGCTCTTCAAAAAACCGTATCTTGCAAAATGCGCTGCCAAAACTAACCCAATCTAGCTTACTTTAACTTAAACTACCCTCCCCTTTCAAAGGGGGTATCCGCCCATGACTGTATTTCCAAATATTATGAAAATTTTCTGAAAAGGTTAACTTGATTGCACCTTGGTATAAACTTTCCCAAGAAAATAACAACAATTAGTTTTCATCTAGAATAGGACGTTACTTTATTATCAACTTTAATAAAAATTAAACACTCCGTATAAAATATATTTGTCTGGCATTTTCTCCTCCTGCTTAAATAAAACGGTGTCGGGGCTATATTTGAACCCGGACATTTTTAGATTTATGAAAAAGGTCGACGCAGGTCAAACGCGCCTAACCAACTTTAACCTATGTACTCGCTCGACTTTTCATTTCAGTCAGTCGCTTTTTCCATCGTACATTTTCTACACCATATTTTATTTCAGAATATTGAAAAATGGACGCGCTTAGTGACAACGAAGATTATCATCTACGGATCAACAACAAACATAAGGGCTTATTTTCCATTACAGGCCTGCTACAAAAGAAAAAGAATGGTAAGTCACTATGAATCTGTAATGATATTATTGCGGAAGTATCCGATTTTATACCCACGCACGTACAAGAAACGCGCGTACAATCTCTGTATAGTACCTTTTCCGATTTATCTATCTAACGGGGTCGGACGACCTCCTATTTCTATATCTGTCATAAAACATGTAAAACGTCGACGGGGTCACCCATACACTCTAGTCTCGGAATGGTAATGGTACGTTATGGGCACTTTTGTCAATGTCGTATTGGTCGGATAGAGTCGATTTCAAAGTGGACATTCAGTAAATTAAATTGTACCTACTAAAGCGTGTAAAGATAAAAGCTGGAAATTATTTCATAAGATACTTCCTACTTCAGGTTGTTCGAGGGTAGTATTTTATTGTACAGTTTTTCTTTTATGGGTAACAACGATTATTGGGGAATTTTTGGTTATTCTCTATTCAAAATTGATTGCTGTCTATCGTAGGTATATTTATGAATTCCAGAAAATCAAGTTCTAAAAAGGAATTTGAGCAAAATACACCCTCTCATATTTTGGTGTTTTTTTGGGAAAACTAGTGGAAGAAACTTTTTGAATCTTTTGGGGTGAAAAGAGGAAAGGAAGGAGCTTATCATATCAACATTTCAAATCGATTCAGCAAGAAATGACAATATGAGAAATTCCAGAAAATCGACTTTTAAAAAGGAAATTGGGCAAAATACACCCTCTCATATTTTGGTGCTTTTTTGGAAAACTAATGAAAGAAACTTTTTGAAACATTTGGGGCGAAAAGAGGAAAAGAAGTAGCTTATTATACTAGAATTTCAAATCGATTCTTCAAGAAATGACAATATGATAAATTCCAGAAAATCGACTTTTAAAAAGGAAATTGAGCATAATACACCCTATGTTTTTTTGGAAGACTAATGAGGGAAACTTTTTGAAACTTTTTGGGTAGAAAGAGGAAAGCAAGGAGCTTATTGTACTGGAATTTCAGATCAATTTTTCAAGAAATGACAACATAAGAAATTCCAGAAAATCAACTTTTAAAAAGGAAATTGAGCAAAATACATCCTTTCATATTTTGGTGTTTTTTTGGAAAACTAGTGAAGGAAACTTTTTGAATCTTTTAGGGTGAAAAGAGGAAAGGAAGGTGTTTATTATAATGGAATTTCAAATCGATTTTTCAAGAAATGACAATATGAGAAATTCCAGAAAATCGACTTTTCAAAAGGAAATTGGGCAAAATACACCCTCTCATATTTTGGTGTTTTTTTGAAAAACTAGTGGAAGAAACTTTTTGAAACTTTTGAGGAGAAAAGAGGAAAAGAAGGTGCTTATTATACTGGAATTTCGAATCGATTTTTCAAGAAATAACAATATGAGAAATTCCAGCAAATCGACTTTTAAAAAGAAAATTGGGCAAAATATACCTTTTCATATTTTGGTGTTTTTTTGGAAAACTAGTGGGAGAAACTTTTTGAAACTTTTGGGGTGAAAAGAGGAAAAGAAGATGCGTATTATACTGGAATTTCAAATCGATTCTTCAAGAAATGACAATATGATAAATTGCAGAAAATCGACTTTTAAAAAGGAAATTGAGCATAATACACCCTATGTGTTTTTGGAAGACTAATGAGGGAAACTTTTTGAATGTTTTTGGGTGGAAAGAGGAAAGCAAGGAGCTCATTGTACTGGAATTTCAAATCAATTTTTCAAGAAATGACACCATAAGTAATTCCAAAAAATCAACTTCTAAAAACGAAATTGGGCAAAATACACCCTCTCATATTTTGGTGTTTTTTTGGAAAACTAGTAGAAGAAACTTTTTGAAACTTTTGGGGTGAAAAGAGGAAAAGAAGATGCGTATTATACTAGAATTTCAAATTGATTCTTCAAGAAATGACAATATGATAAATTCCAGAAAATCGACTTTTAAAAAGGAAATTGAGCATAATACACCCTATGTGTTTTTGGAAGACTAATGAGGGAAACTTTTTGAATGTTTTTGGGTGGAAAGAGGAAAGCAAGGAGCTCATTGTACTGGAATTTCAAATCAATTTTTCCAGAAATGACAACATAAGAAATTCCAGAAAATCAACTTCTAAAAAGGAAATTGAGCAAAATACATCCTCTCATATTTTGGTGTTTTTTTGGAAAACTAGTGAAGGAAACTTTTTGAATCTTTTGGGTTGAAAAGAGAAAAGGAAGGAGCTTATTATACTGGAATTTCAAATCGATTTTTCAAGAAATGACAACAAGAAATTCCAAAAAATCAACTTCTAAAAAGGAAATTGAGCAAAATACATTCTCTCATATTTTGGTGTTTTTTTGGAAAACTAGTGAAGGAAACTTTTTGAATCTTTTGGGGTGAAAAGAGGAAAGGAAGGTACCTACTTATTATACTGGAATTTCAAATCGATTTTTCAAGAAATTACAATATGAGAAATTCCAGAAAATCGACTTTTGAAAAGGATATTGAGCAAAATACACCCTCTCATATTATTTTGGTGTTTTTTTTTGGAAAACTAGTGAGAAAACCTTTTTGAAACTTTTGTGGTGGAAAGAGAAAAGCACGGAGCTTATTATACTGGAATTTCAAATCGATTCTTCAAGAAATGTCAATATAGGAAATTCCAGAAAATCAACTTCTATAAAAAGGAAATTGAGCAAAATACACCGTTTCATATTTTGGTGTTTTTTGGAAAACTAGTGGAGGAAACATTTGAATCTTTTCGAGTGAAACTCGGGGTGAGAAGAGGAAAGGAAGGAGCTTATCGAATGTAATACCACAAGAGGTTTCAGGATTACCGGATAATACTTTTACCTGTCACGAAACGCGTTACGCAGCAACACCACGACTCCGAAGGAGGAGTGGTGTTTCTGGTAACGCGTTGAGTGTCAGGTAAAAGTATTAGGTAATCCTGAAACATCGAGTGGTATTCAAAAGATTATACAACGAACTAAACTTGAATACTTTGAAATTTTAAAAATTTTCTATAATAGAATTTGCCATAAATGCCACCAAGCGCGATAATCCCAAAAGGCTTATCACTTATTAAGCCTTTCGTGTCATATGGGAATAATGTACAGTGAGTTGTATAATCATACTAACATTTCCAATCGATTCAGTAAGAAATGACAAATATGAGAAATTCCAGAAAGTCAACTTTTGAAAAGGAAATTGAGCAAAATACACCCTCTCATATTTTGGTATTTTTTGGAAAACTAGTGGAGGAAACTCTTTGAAACTTCTGGGGTGAAGGGTGAAAAGAGGAAAGGCAGGAGCTTATTATACCAAAATTTCAAATCGATTTTTTAAGAAATGACAATATGAGAAATTCCAGAGGGCTTCGTATAACAAAAGAACTTGTATTGCAATCTAGCAGTCTAAAAGCATTTCATTTAATTCATAAGTTTGTAACTTTTCTTTCGGAAAAATATTCTCAAGAATCAAAAACGAACTTCTGTTTTCTTGGAAACAAGCAAACCTAGAAATCATGAGGTTTGCTTTGAACTTGAAGAAAACATATAATTATTGAGAGATGACAAAAGATGGTACGGACTCTATGGCCGGAGCACGTTCTAATAAAATCGACCCATCATTCAGGTGAAATCCGTGTCCATGTAGGAAGTTGTCCAATTGCTAATTCTATTTCTCATCGGCCGTGTTTACAGGCTCGCGCCTTTTGTAAAGGCGGTACTACAACCGGCGAAAGAATGTACGATTGGAAAAATTGAAACAATAAATTGTGCTCAACGAGTTCCTTTGATGATGTCGTTCAAGATAAAACAACATCTGACGATAAGTAAATTTCAATTGATTCGGCCCAACTTTATGTACAGAGAGTGTACCATTTAAAATGAAATCGCTCGTACACGTAATTTGATTTTCAAAAAGGGAAGTTTCCTGCAACCATTTTTAGCTCTTCAATTTGAACCCTCTAGGCGGGGTGGGACCAACCTTACTATTTCAAATGGAACAAGGGGTCGAGTGATACCATTTGAAAGAAAATTGAACACCCTATTCCAATTGGAATGGTGAGGGTTGGTAACACCCCCCTATAGAGTTAAGTTAGTGCTGAAATTTTTTCAAATACTCAAATAATCAAATTACGTGTAAGAGCGATTTGGAAAAAAATAAAAGTGACATCAGATATTTAATGGTATACCCTGTATGTAGATGTTTAAGGAAGAACCTCCGGTACCTATATGTCTTTTTAATCCACCTCATAACTTTAAAGCCACGCCTTCATAAACAAGACTAACATCAAGATAAAGTATTTTTCAAAGTGACTACCGGCTTGTTCTTTTTTTTTTTGTTAACAAAATTTATTTTCCGCCTTTTTTTTTCTTGTTCTCTATTAAATATTCTAACATTTTTCACGTTTCTATCGCGATAAAAAAAGTGAGACGTTGTTGTTTTTTGGTGGTAACTTTATGGGTTTTAGATACACGATTGATTTGTGAGATAAGCCTTTGTAGTTTTTAACAAGAAGAACCATATCTCTTTGTACAAGGTAACTTTATATAAATTCTTCCAGAAACCAGAACCAATCAAGAGCTAACAGTAACATGCAGTTCTGATATTATAGCAAACAAAACCTTAGTTAAATGGGTACTGTTACCCATTGATTAAAAGTATCAGATAAAGAAATTGCGTTATTCGCACTGGGCGAAGACAAGAAGGTCACTGATGCAGCCAACCTGCGCTTTTGTATTATGGTTATAGTCAATTATTATTTTCTTCGATTCGAAAGATGTGTATCGATTCTGAGCGTTAATTTAACTGTACATGGATATTAAATTTTTGTTTATTGAGATTTAATTAGAGATGCCTTGGATGATGACCGTCCGGCAGATGGTTGCCGTGGTCAAGATTATAAATGTGTGTTTAAGATTTCCGGATGTCGAGTGTATAGTTTATTGGATTTTATTATAATAATTGCTCACGGATATTATAAACTTATAAGTAACTGGGAGATGACCAAGAAATTTTGATTACAAACAAAGTTCATTGGT